CAGGAAGAGATGGTGGGCTGTCTCTTGTGTGTGTTCTTGTTAAGGAGAGGAGGTTTGGAACGTGCTGTACTCAGAAATCTGAATTAATGAGGTACTGCAGACACGTCAGAGGATGGGAAGAGTTCTGTCATGTGCCATTATTTCCACAAAGCTTTCTCTTGTAATGTGGGTGTGAAAGAGCTGTGTGAGGCTGTCTAAGCAAAGTGGAGAGTTCTTCTTGAGACCTAGCTGAGGGATGTAGTGTCTACAAACGAATATGGCTTTACAGAATCTTTGTACAGATTGCCTATGCACAGTTCACTTAATAAAGTGAAATATCTTTTGCTGTCATTGTGTATTGCCTGTTAGCTTTCCTGAATAATTTTTACTTTAGTGTTTTTTTATAAGTACAATTAATGTGGTTTCTTTAAAATTGAAAGTCTGTGTTACTCTTATCAAGTTACAGTCTTGAAAGGAAATTCTTGTTTACAGAATCCTTTTTTTGTGTGTTGCTCAGTTTGCTGTACAGCGTTTAGAAACAGAAATGTATCTGTGTTTTTGAACACAGGAACGTTTGGGTACTTTTTTAAACCCAAAAATCTAAACCCAGTGGAAACATTTGCCTGATTTTTATAAAATCTAGCGGTTCCATTCCAGTATAATCATATTTCCTTTTAGAGCTTGATACTTCACTAGTATATAGAAACAAGAATATGAAAACAAGTAGAAAGTGATTATTTGTGAAGCAGGGTCAATAAATCACTTCAGCTGTTTATTAACACGTCTGACCTCAGGGTGCCTGTTATAATGACAATAATTTTGAAGTCACTGTAGCCTTTGTCTTGATGTTTTTTTGCCAAGATGCAATGACTTTTTTTTCCTGTGGCAATAAAATAAAAGGGAGAAGCCTTACTATTTTAGCCCTTCCAGTAGTGATCTATCTTAGGCTTTCAGGGCGCTCACAGTTTTGTTTAATAATCACTTGTTCACTTTCATGGCCAGTGAGTAGTTACTTGTTCAGATCCACTTTTGTGCCTGGTGAAATCAATAGGAATAAGGTGCATAGGCAAGTTAGGTGAATTATTAACCTCTAACAGTCTCATGCCATTTTTCTGTACTGTGCAGTAACGTCACAGTAACTCAAGAAGGAATAAACAGGCTTACCCTGTTTGCTGGGGTGAGCAGAGACCCTGATGTGCCTGTGGCACAGGGGTGTCCTGGTAGCAGCAGAGGTCACTGTGAGGTGGGGTCCTCTGCTGCCCTGCTGTGATTAGTCAGGTAATTTCATAAGTCAGATAATTTGTGTATGTTTGATGTTTTAGCAGTGCATACCAGACTCAAACTTGTTTGTCTTTTTTATCAAATAGGACACTGAAAGTGTCTTGCTGAAAGTTGTATAAGAAATCTGTAGCAGAGCAAGGTTTCAAAGGCAGTGCATACCAGACTCAAACTTGTTTGTCTTTTTTATCAAATAGGACACTGAAAGTGTCTTGCTGAAAGTTGTAGCAGAGCAAGGTTTCAAAGGCCAGTAGATGAACCCTGAAAACTCAGCAGTCACTAACTGAGGACTGAATTCTTGTCCATCAAAACTGGTGCTGTCCAAGGTAATAGTGAACTGTGTTTATGTTTGGACAGCCAGTTGTAATTCCAAAGGGAATTGGTCCTGAATTCTGATTAAAATTATGTGATATAACATTATAAAGAACATTTCTAGGGGTAGGAAAGATATTACTAGATTGGCTGAAAGAAAAGGGAGCTGAATCTTCTGTTGTACTCAGTGCTGGTAACACCAGAGCTGGAGTACTGTGGTCAGTTCTGGGCTCTGAGTACAGAGACATGGACAGAAGAGAGCCCAGGGAGTGGCACGAGGGGACTGGGGCTGGTGCATCCCTCCCATGAGGAGGGGTGGGGAGCTGGGACTGTTTAGCCTGGGGATGGAAGGCTTAGGGGGAAACTAAGCAATGTGTATAAATTCCTGAAGGGAGGGGTGCAAAGAGACCTGAGCCAGGCTAACTTCTGTGACTAACCCTTATGAGACAAATTTATGCCTTTTCATTCTAATTCCTCTTCTTTTCTGGTTAGCACTGAAGTAAAAGAATTATTTTCATGAGAAAGTAATGTAATCTAAAGTGAGTAATTTTGTTTTTCCTTCTGTATTGGGTCAATCTTTTCAAGTGCCAGGTCCCTAAATAAAAGTGTTTCCCTAATGAAACAACCCATCATGTTGAGCTAGGATTGGCCTTCCAGGCAGAATGGAAGAAATTCTCCCTTTTTAGGCCTGGAATGTAAGCAGTTATGGAATTTCAGTGTCTGGAATGCATAAGATTTACAAGCTAGCTTTCCTCAGACAGGTATTGTGAAGTTATTTACAGAGACTTAACACTTGGTAGTTTTAATACTATATTAAGCTCCCAACCCCCAAATATTTAAACTTAAATTTTGCTGTTTTATGAATTTCAGTGTTAAAAAGCGTTTTGAGAAATTTTCCTGGGGCAATATTTATAGAGTTCGTATAAATGTAATGTTAAAAACCTTGTGCAACTGTTTGAATATTTTTCCCATCTAGTTTCTGCTTTGAGTACAGTCCTAATCTTCAAAATTATCAGCATAGAGAATTTGGCATCTTTTTCTGCTAGTAAATTCCCCTTCCCCGCTGTATTAAATAAATGTGTGATTTAAATAACTGTAACCATTTAAAACTCATCCAGTGATGTAAACAATTGTACTTCCTTTTTTGTTCTTCTTGTTGTTACTAAATGTTAAAAAAAAAAATTTCTGAGTGTGGATCTCAGCTCTGATGATGACTTTTCCTAATTTGTGGAAAATCATCTCACCTGTCACTTCTTTTTCTACATGTTAAATGTTACAAAATCATTATAGTATTTGAAAAAATAGTAGTGAGGAGATAGATTTCATAGGTTTATGAAATATTTAGACTGCTCAGATACTGGTCACTGAGTGCAATGAAATACTGATGTTTTTATTACTTTATTGATTTAACGTCAACTTACATCTTGCTTCAGCTTATTAAAAGAGAATATACATATTTCTTCAAAAAGTAATTTAAAACACAGACAAGTGTATTTTAATAGTCAATTGATCAACCATTTAGTAATGTGATTATTACAGATGCTATGCAGAGCCGTGTTTTAAGGTACCTGCAACAGAACCAAAAGTGAGACTGTATTGTACCATATAATATATTTTAAAGGTCATGGATATTGTCCAATTGTCATTTTTATTGTGTATGAAATGTATTTACACCATTTTGCATACCTTTAAAGAGTCACAAGTTATGAGACAAATATGTCAGTATCTCCCTAACAAGGAGATATGTTTTGTGTAGTTTTTTGAAGGGATTGTTTCAAGAAAAATAACTTCCTTATGGAATCCTAGATTTGTTAAAATAGGAAGAGTAGTACTGCAGGTCTCTTGTCCAATCTCCTGCTCAAATTAGGGCCCACACTGCCTGTACTGGGCTTTGTATTTTAAAACCCTCCAAGAATGGAGATTCTGCAGCCTTCTCTGAGATTCCTCAGATGAGATTTGCTCTTTTGTGACCCAGAGTGTTTATCAACAGTAATACAGGAGTAAATAAGCAAACCCTTTCTAATTACAGCTGCTGAGTAATGGAGCAGTTTCTGTGAGATGGGAGTGGTGCTGTAGGTGCTGCTTTGACCACAGGAGTTGTGTTTCCCTTCTGAGCCCCAGCCTGGACACACTGTGTAGTGTCAGTGGGAAAAAAGAAAAAAGCTCCAGCAAAGCCAATGCCTGTGAAGGAAAGGCAAAGAAATTGCACTTGAGCTTGGCTTTTATAGCCCTTTTTGCTTGGGTTTTCTTGAACTTTTAATATTATACAGATTAGTAATGAGCCATTTCCAGACATGTGTATCAGTTTCTTTATGTATAAACATATTTCCCTCCAACATGGTATATTGTATGTTAAAATTGCATTGGATTGTGGTGTAATTGATGTAGGAGGCTTTTGTGAAGATTTCTGACAACTTTCTGAATTGCTGTTAAAATCTAATCGATTCTTATTATCCTTGTCTTCTAATAGTTTGCTACTGGAGATCGTCACTGTAAATTTGCTGATTATTATTCTCTGGTTTTAGCACTAAACGGATTTTTTTTTGAGTCAGTATTTGAGAATAGATTTTCTAAGATAAAGATACATTGGCAATTGCTGAGTTGTAAGGGCACGTGAATGTGGTACATGACTGCAGCATTTGCAGTCAGGTGTCTTTCTGGGAACTATTCCCCCACAGAACACATTTCAGTTGTGACAGCTGTAAAACATGAAGCAGCCTTGGCTTACCTGAAAATGGTGGTAACATTGGGATTCATTATATAAAGCATTTAGCAGTGAGGGCTAATTACAATTTGGATTCAGGATTTGTTCATCTGTATTTCTGTGTTCTTGAAGTACATAATCACAAGATTGTTTAAAAGAGCCTGTCTGCATCTGGTTTTAAGATTTTTTTTACATATATATTTATATATTAACGTGCATACATACATTTTAGTTAAAACTTCAGTAAAGCTTTTAAGCACAAACAATCCTAATGGGGTTTTGTTATTTTCATTTTTATTTCAAAGCTTCTGCTAACCTAGTTTAGATATAGAAACTTCTGCTAGTATGTTAATGTTGATCATAAGTGTGAGCTTTGTTTCACTGTTTAAATATTCACAGAAAGTAGTGCAGGGCAGTACCAACAAAAAAGCTTCCTTTATAGTACAGTTTGTTGTGTTCAGTGAACAAGTAATAAATAAAGTAGCAAAAACACAGTGAAGGTTTACTGATAGAGCTGTACTGACACTTTTTTTTTGCATGGATCTGTTTATATCTTCTTTCATTTTGGACTTGCAAATATCACAATTGATTTTCAAATGGTACTATCTGTTAAACAAGATTTTTTTAAAAAAAGTAAATATTTGTCAAAGGAAATTGTTGCCATTTTCTGTGAATGCTTTTAAAATGAAAGTGTTTCATGTAGGGAGAAATGGTTGACTCTAGACACTTGTTATTCAATGCGTAACATTGAAACATTTAAGACCATTTTAAACTAACTTGACTCCATCCCAGTCAGGTCAGCTGCTTTAGCTAGTTTTTGGTGATCTTTATCTAAGTGCAATTATCACAAACCCAAGAAAAAGTGTAGGGAAAGTGAGTTAAATGATATAAGGCATAAGTCAAGTAGGGCTTTTTTAGCACTTTCATAGCTAGGAAATTAAGATGTCTTTTCTTCATCAGGTCACAGTGATTTTAGCTGTAGTTTCAAACTAGTCACACAGGCTTGCACATATTTCTGTATCTGTGTGTGGAGGTTCTACCATTCTAGGATTATTTATAGTGCCTGCGGAACTGTAACCTGCTTTTACCTGGCATAACTCTGAGCATGCCAGTAATTCAATTATCAAGAGTATGTGGCATAGATTTTTAGAATTTTTGCATTGTTTCTTTTGAGATGTCCATTGTGTGATTTGCTGCAGGCTGTCATTTTTGTCTGCCATCCAATGTATGTTGGCAGGAGGGTTGTGTACTAGGCTTTGTGTCTGGTCACAGGAAAAAATTCATCCATCTCAGCCAGACCATTTGGTTATTCCTTTAGAATTAAAGGCATATGAAACAGATGCAGCTTAATAAGTATCCTTTTTTATAAATAACATTTAAATAACTTAAAACAATAAAGTTCAAATACAACTTAAAATAAAGTTTAATGCTGTAACAACAGAAAAAGCATGTATAAGAATGGAGAAACAATATTGAAAGCTGTATGCCCTAACAGGAATTATACAAAAGATAGGATATGTTACATAAAAAACCTTAATATGTCTGAATTTTTGCTTCATTGTTATATAAAATGTTAATTTGTGAAAAGTGAGATGAAGTACATTATTTATTCCTATTTTTATTTTACATACACTATTTGAAACATCTTTTAGAGCAGCATTAGGTATTTGTTTCATTAATAGATAGGAACATTTTGTGTTAGAGTAAACTTAATTTGTCCAAACTAACTCTCTTATCTGAATACAACAATAAACATTTACAAGATTATATTTTTTTTTGATCATATAGTTTATGTATAGGATATGAGTTTCTTGGGGGAAGTATTTAAAATACTGCTCAGCCTCCACTTTTCTATTGACTTGATAATCTGACAATTCATTCCAGCAGCCTTAAAGTCTGACATATTTTACACAACATTATCATCTGCTTATTATTATTATTATAGCAGCCATATTTAAGAAGCAGATAGTTTTTTAAATAAAATATTATCAGATAATCAAGTAATGACTTATTCTTCAGGGTAAATTAATTTAAGAAACTACCCAGTTACAATGACTAAGATAATGATTGTACAGCTCTTTAGAATTTTTTACAACTTTTAGTTAGTAAATCTGATTTTGTGTATATTTTCAAATCTTTTTCATGTAGTCTCTTAAAAATAAACATAAATGCGCAAGTCCAGCTTGTTCAGTTTCTCAGTAGTATTCCAGCCTCTCTTGGTATCTTGTCAAACAGTCTTCTTAAAATTAATCTTCCTGCTGGAACTAGTTCTTTATAGATCATTTGTGATTAGGATATTGCCAGAGGAAGAAAGTGGGATGCTCTGTGTTCTTTCTTTGTTTTTTTACCTTTCATTGGAACCCCTTTGTGGTTTAGTGTAACAAACATCTCTTTTCCTTTGTGTGTCCATTTTGCAGAAGCATATGTGTTATAATGGTTTTCTTCAATCAGTTCAATGAAGTTGCAGTCCTCATTGCAGACTTTCTGTTGAGAGTAAATAATAAAATATGGTAAGGCAAGTAAATGTTAAATTTTAATATTTTTAAATACTTAGATTAGGGGAGATGGGTGAAAAATAGGCATTATAGAACCTGCATATTAGGAATATTTTAATAAATATGTTTGGCCTCTGAAATCTGAGTATTGAATACTCTAGCTTTGTATAGTCCCCCTTAGTATTCCACATTTTAAAGATGTATATAAGACCTAATCATTGACTTTATTCAATGGACATAAAAGCCTAATATGGGATGCATGGGATAAGTGCAGAATACATTTTACTTAGGAATCTGTTTTATAGAAAACCACTCAAATGCTACATCTCAAAATACCTCTAAGATTGTAGGGATGTACACATAAGAGAAATTTGCATCCATACCTTTCCATAGAGTCGCCCTGACTTGTTCATTGCCAGAAAGTATTCACTTTCCACTCCTTTGATTGCCACTATTCCAACTGCCACCGTTCGGATTTCTAGAATACCTGCAAAGGTACACAGCAAGGGCTGTAAAATGGTTGGTTGTTCTCCAGGTAACTCAGAAGGTTTCCTTGAACTAATATTCTGTAGTATTTCCACGTTTATTGAATTTATTCTTGGAAAACAGAAAAATTGTGTGTATTTATGTGAAGAAAGGGCTAGACTTAAAAAATTTCCTTTGTGATCATGTCTGCATAGAGCCACTTTAAAATTGTATGGTGGTAATTTTTAAGTATATACTGAAGTTGTGATGTCAGTGTAAGTAATTCCTCTATTTTCAGAAAAGCAGTGTCGTTTAGAATTTATCAGGATGAGGGTTTCATTTGGAGTATGTAGTTAGCCAAGGTTCACAGCATTTGTGCAAAGCCTTTATTTTGAAGTCTTGTGTAGCAGTATCATCCCCTTGAAAGAGTGTAAACCTTAGAACTTGCAAGTGATAGAAAACAGACCACAGTGTCTTAAATAAGATAAAGTATTTGCTTGACCTTTGTGTGCTTTTATGACTGATTGGAGCTGTAAAGATACGTGTATTTGAAAATCATTAAAGGCTGCCCTGAGAGCTTATTTATTCAAAACCAGAAAACATTTAGTGTTGTTTTCTATAACCTGATTTATTTTCATCTCACTGATACATATCAGCAATACTCTTCTGTAGTCACTATGATACATTTAAGTTACCTGCAACATAAAAAAATATTCTTTTGTTAATGTTTAAAAAAAAAGTGAAGGAAGGGGGATTATGCAAGTTATTAAGAAACAATTAGGTTGTTTTCAAGCTTAAATATTATTAATGTTTTCTTAAGCAATAGTTTCGAGTTATGTATCTGAGTTTGAGCTATTTCTTTCAATATTGAGTCACTGGCAGAGCTCTGCCATAGCAACTGCACTGTGACTCCTTCTCCAAAATGGGGTCTTTCAAAGGCAGCCAACTTGAGGCAAATGGCAAGAGCTAGCTAAGCATGGGGGAGACAAGTGAGGGAGCTGGGAGAGGCATGTGTTAGATTATCACCTGAATTTCCTCTTTAACCAAACATTTCCTTTTTTCCCCTTTCAAGTTGGCATTGACTTTTCACAGCCACACGGTAATGTTTTTTTGTTAATTAGGTTTTAATAAAGGCATTAAGTAATGATGATATTTCTCCTTCCCTATACATTTTTATCTCCTCTTGTCCTTTGCTTTCCTTCCTGTTGGTTTCCTTTTCTCTTTGATATTACTGATGTATCAGTATGGGTATATTTATCATCCTTTTTTCTTTTGCAGATCAATTCCCTCTCCCAATGATGTCTGCACTGCTGGGCATTCAGCTCAGAGTGTTTATACTTCTGTACTCCCCCTTAATGCTAAGCCAGCTTTTTTTTAAGTGAAGCTTTTAGAATTATTTGACAAGTTCCGCTCTTCTGCAGGCCTAGCAATAGTTGTAACAAAGGGTAATTTGTAACCGAAACTTACAAAAATTATATTAACTATCATTTAAATATCACTTTAGAAAAACCACAGTGAAGCTAAAAACCAGATGAACATCTGCATTTAGCCTAACAAAGAACACAACAGTGGACGGGATCTCTGGGTCATCAAGTCCAGTGCTCTGCTAGCCTGGGAATTGCATCAGATAATTCTCTTTTCATAAACTTTGCCAATACTAAATTGGAGTTGTTCTTTCTTTGCCCCCAGTGTTTCTGCTGAAGGCTGTTCCAGAGTTTGATTTATTTTAATGGCTAGAGACTTTGTAGTAATTTGCAATCTGCATTTCTTCAGTGACAGCTTATATCCATTTGTTCTTTTGCCTCTGCTGGTCATTAACTTAAGGGGAGCTTTTTAAAAAAGTCTATGTTTGAGTTTTCTATTTATACAGAATTTTAAAAAATGAAATATTTAAAATTACTTTTTAAAACAAATCATGCTAACAGGAATTGAGATTTCCTTGAGTAAGCTGATGTTGGCTGAAGTTACAGTAATAAGAAATCTTACTACTTTAAAAAAGGAAATGCCAAAAGGTTTTGTCCAAAGCAATATTATTATTGTTACAATTTTTACATTATTTTTTAGGTTTTTCTTTTTGCCTGAAGTAGATTGTGACTAACTTGTTTGAGTTACTTCATTTTGGTTTGGGGTACTTGTTTTTCTACTTTATTCACAGTTGAGACATCAATGTCTTTCCTTGTCTTAAATGAGAAGGTCTGTTCTTATGTGCTTCCTTTTGAAGTAAATGTGTTTAATCCTTTCAATATCTATTCATGAAAAGAAAAAAGTCACCAAGCTAGAATGGGAAAGAGAAAATTCTTATACATAGATTGTTTCATTGAAATACTCTTTTCATACTCTAGTATCCAAAATTACTCTAAAGGCTTCCTTAAATTAATAAGATGTTGATGAGGAGAAATTCAGAAGGCCAAGCTTCAACAAGGTCTTAAATATCCCTGATTTCAAAATTAAAATGTAAACTATGTTCTTCAGTTGCTTTATCTAAAGCATCCCCAGAGAAGTTTGGAAGAGGTTTAAGAGAAGACTTAATATACCACAAAGTAACTGGGAAAGAAATCAGATTAAAGCCAGGAAAAGAAAAAAAAGCAACCTAGAGATGGGCATCCAAAATTGAAAACAACTGTGCTTCCTATAAAATCAGCATGAAATTCCAAACAATTTTATATGGTTGTATGGTCAGTGTATCAAATGTAGCTCAAAATTCCTGTAGTGAATGAAGTTTCCTACAGAGCTGAAATTACTCTGCTGTATGTAAAAGACACTCAGCAGAGATGGGCTATAGTTTGTCTTTGGAAAAGATACCTATGGATGGTGACAGCTGTTTTTAGAACCACTTGGTACAAACTAAATAACACACAGTTGATACCCAGTAGAAAAAAAATAAGAAAATAAACAAAACAAGCCTTTAGGCTGACACAACACTTCCAGTGGGTGAAATATGTATCAGGTTTTTGTCATTAATGAGCTGAGTTTCCTGACATTTTGGTCTAGAATGACAGTTCCTCAGTACTTAGAAGCAGACTCTTTTATGTGTAGACTTATTCCATAACTGTAGCATGAATGGCAGGGCAGTACCTCAGGCTGGAAATTTATGCATTAAAATGGCATTTAGTTATATGATTGCTATAAAATTCAGCATTGTCACATTGTCACATTCTTTGCTGGCAAGTAGTATTTGATAATTTTGTTTTTATTTCCTGATATTGTGTGTTTTCTGATTCAATTCATATTTTCAAATCAGCGTTTTCATCTTCCTTTTATTTGTTAGACTCCTTTTTGCTTTTACAACACTCTGACATTGTATTTGTTAAACCTTTGCTTTTATTACTACACAATCTATTTGCAGAGTATATTAATTTCCATCAGTGTGCAGGCATAGAATAGGCAGTTTCTTTGTGTTTGCCCATAATACCCTTGATAAAAGTATCTTCTCTATAACAAAGTAGCAAGAAGCTCGTGATTGAGCAAAATCAGGACATTTCTCTTTACTCATTTGTCAGCTAAGAGGCTGAAAGAGCAATTGCAGCTCTGGCTCCTGAGAGCTGTAAGGAATCCAGTAAGTGCTGCTGATGCCTGAAGATCCCACAGGCAGGCATAACCTCTCAGGGGGCTTTTGGGAGAGGAGGGGCAGCAGAACCACAGAGGGAGATCTCTTCATGTTCTAGGGAACTGCCTCGCTATGCCAGGATTGTTCAGGAAGATGCTGGGAAGCACACATTGAGTTCAGTCCCCCGCCAGCTGTTTCCAGATGTTTCATGTGTTCCAGGTATCCCCTCAGTGTCTGTCACATACGGTTTCTGCTCCCTGCTCCTCAGTTTGCCAGAGTCACAGTGTCTGTAGACATTCATTCAAAGAGACCTTTTGGCATCCATTATATTTTCCAGAAAGCTGACAGCAATTTCATCCCGGTACTTTTCCGTTCTGCCAGGTACATGTGTTGTGGGAGCACATATGATACGTACAGCACTTTATTTCTTGTGGCTCTGCAGTGAAGTTGAAAAAAAGCAGTCTGTTGATGATTTTTAGGGGTAGGGAGGCTGGCACTGACAGTTTAGCACTTGTGAGGAATGTGTTTGTGAAACACTCTTTCCTCAGCAGAATGGTCTTTAAAAATAAAGTATGTGAAATCTTAAATAGGGACAGAGGGGCAGAAAAGACTTGGATGGAAAATGAGTCAAAACAAAATGTAACTTCTAAATTTCACTAACGTGTGTTTCTCATTAATTGAATTTGGAGTACATATTTATGAATTCAAATGATCTTTGCAAATGATTCAAGGCCAAGGAAAATTATCTCGTCTTTGCTTAGAAGACACTGTTTAATGTTAATAATTTAATTTGTTCATTTGTTCTGGCACTTAATAAGTTAATATTTCTACCTCTTAAAGCCAGAAAATATGGTTCATGAGGGTCAATCTTGAAAAACTTTCATGCTGTTATTGGTACATGTGTGCATTTGGTAAGCCAGCACAGTAAGGAGCTGGTGTATTACACCTAAATGTTTTTCCAGGAGAATCTTATCAGTGAAATGAATATTTTTATTGGATAAGTTTGAAAGTAATTTGTTTCAGGAAATATTTTTCTTTTTTTTTTTTTAAATATAGTGCCTATATTGTGAAGTATTTGTGCAGTTTAAGTTATTTTAAGTCTTAATATTTTAAAATGAATGCATCACGAAGTTCATTTTTAGGTAAAAAAATAGTGTGCTGTTTTTCTCTCAAATATAAAAACTAATAGTAAAAAAATTTCTGCAAATAAAGGTCTTGATTTAAGGTGTTTTGTATTATGACTTAATTTTTACCCTTCCCTATTATTAAATTAAAATTGATAGAAAGCAGAATTTGCATTTCTATTGAGTACTATCTTAGCAAGAGAATAAAGGAGTTTCCTGGGTGGTACCTCACAGAACTCCTGTTCATAAGCTTTTTAAGTAAAAATAAATGTACAGGTATATGTTGAAATATCTTACAGTATGTTACAAAGCAGGAGATTTCTCCACACCAGGAATTTTCTGTCTGTGGAT